ATCCCCATGTGGGTGGTTGTCAAAATTATGGTCCCTTTTTGGGTCCCTATTATAATACGGGGCCTAATACGGGGCCTAATTTAGGGGACCCAAAAAGGGACCATAATTTTGACAATCCCCCATGTACCTTTGGGTCCGGAAGGGTTCCCCCTTTTTGCCAAGCCCCGTTGCATGCAAAAGGTTGGCAAGTGGCGCCATGAGCAGGCGAAGGAGAAGGAGGTCCCTTACAATCAGGTGGTGAGGTTGGGGGTTTAGGGTTTAGGGCTTAGGGTTTAGGGTTTAGGGTTAAAAAGTTTAGGGTTTAGGGTCTCAATAGTTATTATATGGGGATGCAAGTTTTAAACGGATTGTGTCTCGAGCGTTTTCCCATTTTCCCGCCCAAGCCCTTATTGGTGTCCTTTCAGCTTTAGCCTATTCTGGTTTTGTTGCCTGATAAAGGCTACAACGCTGTTTTGGGGACAGGAAGGACTTGGGTCTGGGAAATGTCCAAGCAGTGTTAGCCACAGTCCGTTTTTTCTTTTTGGCATTCCTAAGGGCCCCTACATAGTAGTTTCCCTTTATAGGGGGACCCCAATAGAGACCCCCAAATAGTACAATCCTTATTATGCCGACCCCCAAAAAACGTACCCCTGATTTTGGGAAAGTCCCATAAAAGGGGACCCATAAGAAGGATTCCCTGGGACCTCCCTTAGGCCTTCTCCTAAGGTTTCCCTTAGGCTTTCTAAAGTCCCATATTGCTCCAATATGGGGCCCCTTTAAGGCTACCTTCTGCTCCATTCCAAAAGCTTATCTGCCTGACTGTGAGGTTTCTTTGCCTCCAGGATTTTAGGGGAACCCGCAGCAAATCTTGGGAGTATCTGGAAGCGGGACAGCGGTGGTAATCTGCCCCCAAAACTAAAATGGAACTCCCTGTCGCCAAATTTCAGAAGGATGCATTGGGGCCTTTTTTTGGTGTTCCATTTTCTTTTGGTGGGCTAGAGGCTAGAAGCTAGGAAGTCTGCATGCGCTATTGAAGTGATTGGCAGGCCATCCTGCAATGGTATCTGGTCTTAGCCGCTGGGACCTGTTTGGAGGGCTTAGGGTTAGGGTTTAGGGTTCCTGGTACCGACTAAGGACAAGTCCTGTGGAATATCCGTCGAAGCAAAACCTCATAAGACCCCCTGGGAGACACTTTTGTTCCGAACTTCCCGATGGCTTTGAACAAGTGATCTATGCATGTTAGATCGTGATGAACAACGTGCATCTGCTTTAGGGGGAGTGGGGGAAGGAACATGGATATTACCATGGCGGATTCTAGAATGATGGGGTTGAGGATTTAGGGTCTCCGCTAAGTACGTACAAGACTAGGCCGGGGTTTAGGGTTTATGATTTCCCTTATGTACGTACAAGACTAGGCCGCATCCGTGCTGCGTCACTGGCAACACTGGCTACAGCGTCGTCAGAAGAAGAAGCTGCGCCAGGCCTAGGATTCAATAATTGGGCATATTTATCTGGATTTAGGGATTAGGGTTTAGGGTTATTCTGAGCATTATTTGTTGACTCCCCCGCAGATGGGGAATCACACGGGAAAGAAAATGGAGAATTAGATGGGAACTACAATTCAAGGTGCGTGTGTGCAATATGACAGTAGCCTATAACCTTAACCCAGAATCCTAAAGCCGATAGTCCCCCCTAAGTAGATAGAATATGGCCTGGGGTATATTATAACAAGATCCCCATATACCCCGTATTCTATTAAGTGGGACTATAATCCCTAATGAGTGAAGGGTAGGGTTCCATCCTGACTCTCTGCAAGGCTCGTCTATAGCTCCTCCCTGTGTGGGCCACCAATGACTTTCATGACAGAGCACAGTATTCCAGCGTTTTGGGTTTAGGGGGTTGTATAGGGATAATGGAAGAGAAAATGGAAACTACTAATTATGCGGTTTTGGGTTTTTGGGCTCAGGGATAAGGGATAAAGGCTTAGTTCAGGGTTTATGCTGGGGGTTAACAGCAAGCCTCAACTTGTTCCAACCTTGTTACGGGCATTCAGGCGTTTTAAGGCCTTGGGGTTTCTGGATTTCGAGTAAAGGTGTTTTGAGGTTGGCAGCTTTGAGACGAAGAGCAAAGGAAATTGATGCCAAGTCGGATCTGAATCCCGCATGACTGCTTTGTTTCTACACGCTGGGATTAGTAACGCTGCACTTGTTGCGGTGGCCGCTCACTAGACTGAGCTCTTTTAGAGGGACCCTCGGAAATAGAATCCAAACTAATGTAACCCTAAGGTTTGGGAAGTGCCCATGTTGACATCACTGCCATGGATGTTTCTCACGCGCGTCCTCCGGCTTTTATTCATGCTTAGCTTCTTGCCATTCTTTTGGATTTGTTGGCTGCCGCGCGGCTCACAGCATTTTAGCAAGATTGTCGCCAGATAGATTGTCGCCAGATACGTTTTAGAAGCATGCTGGATGCCGGCATAACAACGCTGATGTTGAGGGGGCTGCCACCCAACTTGAAAAGAGGCATGCTCCTTCAACTGTTGAGCGCGGAAGGTGCCGGCAGGTACAATCTTGTCTATGTGCCATATGACAAAATCGCTAACAGGCCCATGTCCTCCGCGATTGTCAACTTCACCGACCACGAGAGTGCAAGGAAAGTCTACGGCTTCTTTGAGAGCCTAAGACTTGAAACAAACTGGTCCCTACATATCGCTCCGGCTACCGTTCAGGGATTTGAAGCGAATCTTGCACTCATAGCTGCCAGCTCGGGGTCGGGCTTCTCGACGGCAAGCGTGCCCTTATTCTTTTGGGGTTGCTGTTGTGCTTGGTGTTGTAATTATCCAGCGCAAGTTGCTCGAAGAACCTACTGCTATACAACCCCAGCAGTATAATTCGAACTAGGACTAGGGCAGTCCCCCCAACAAAACCAATTTGTGGAGACCTGTGCTGCATCCATGTATACATATCAGGTTCAACATGTTCCTACACATGTATATATGATTCCGTCACTCTTGCCGAGCAACCCAGGATTTGCTGCGCTTTGCGAGCCTGAGGGTCCTCTGATTTTTGTGGATGGCGTCACTGGGTCCATGATTTGGGGAATAAGTTTGGGGTTTAGGGTTGATGGTTAAGGAGATATCGGTTAGCCCCAACCCCCAGCACTACGGCCTTTGGAGGCAAGGGGTCCCAATCCCCGTATTCTTGGGAGGGGGCTTCCAGAAACTAAGGATTTCATTTTGGGGATGTCTTATAGCCATTGCTACAGTATAGTTCTGAGGCCCCCAAGAGAACCCCCACACAAGCCGAAGAGGCCTCACCTTGCCTTTGTCGTTATGGGCTCAGTGGCAAGGTCATGATCACGAATGAGAGGGAGTTCTTTGCTTCTCGCATTACGCCTGCCATGCTGCAGGATTGGGTTTATATTGGGGTTATATGGGGGATAATGTAAAAGAATATGGAAACTACTATAATGGGTTATATGGGTGCTTGTTAATGCATTTCAGAGTATGTGGTGCGCTGTTGGTATGGCAAAATTAAACATAACTTACGTGTACGGGAATGCCAAAGATTTAGGGTCATGTAGGGTCTTTAGCGTTTAAAGTGTTTCGCTTGTGGCCAAGTGGATATCCGCTTCCTTAGGAATTGGTGGATGTAACTATAGACTATAGACGGTGCGTCCGCTTGTGGAGACTATACATTCACAGCACGGGCCGTCTGGGGTTATGTGGGGTGCGTGGCCTTCGTGAGACATTGAGGAGAACACATAGAATAGGGCGTGCGTGCAGGTTCTTTGGGGGTAGCAGGTGTCTTACGCCTGAATCATATCGGTTCACAGGCGTGAGAGGGGTGTTATCTCGGGGGTTTCTGAAGGCAATGTCTGTGCCGTCGTGGTTTCGAGATGGAGATCACCAGGTAGGCCAAGTGTCTGTAGGGGCACTTGATTCTTGAGAAACCAGAAACTGATTCTTGGGAAGCTCATAATCCCCAATTACCAACCCCCAAACCCAAAGCCAACATTCTAACCCCTATATAACCTCTATGTACCCCTATATAGCCCCTGAATAACCCTTATATAGCCCCTAAACTCTACACACCCATGTTTTTGTTGTAGGAGGCTAGGCGCCGCGTCCAAGCTAGGGCTCATGGCTCTGTCAGGCAGGAGATTTTTTAACATTCGCTTTACAGGGGTTACATAGGGTTTCTACGGTTTAGGGTTTTGGGTTTTTAGGGTTAGGGTGAGTTACAGGGTCTAGGGATCAGGGTTCACAAGTCCAGGTTTTAGGGAGTACAGTCTGGGAGTCTAATCTACGGTATTATTGGGGTTGGAGCCTAGGGTCCTGAGACTTTTATTGGTGGCTGGTATGAAGGACTGGGCGTTAAATTGAAAATCACTACGGTTTCAGGGCTTAGTAGGCAATAAGGAACGGATTATGGGGCATACTATTTGGACCGCTACGAGGGGGGGCGTAGGAGGAGTAGGAGAGTAGGAAGAGTCGTATCTGTATCAGTAGCGCGAGCAGGACAGGAGCAGGCGCAGGAGCAGGAGTAACAGTCGTCACGTGAAATTTTGTGGGCAGTTTCTTTCGAAATTGTGTTTGGGGAAGCCTTCACACGCACCATTGTGCTGCAACGAAGTCCGCATTCATGTTGGGACAGCTCTGGATCCAATCCGAGGTGCATATTGAGTCAGTACCCCTAAGGGAACAGGCCTTGCTAGGGAGCCATGGTTTCTCCCAAGAGATTTTCGGTAGAAGCCCTGGCTCTCAAGGTGCTTCTCGCGCCTCGCCCACTTTAAGGCCTCATATGCTTATAGTGTTCCTGAATATGTGTAGTGTGTACTTCTGATTATGAAAGTTATGTTCCGTTGACACCGGCCAAGATATCAGGATGTTCTCGCCCGGGACACAGGAAACCAAGCTTTTCAGACAAAACCATACAAACCCTAAACCTTGGACGCGCGAACCAGGTGCGGGCAAGCTGGCAGAGAGGTGGCACTTTTTTCGAATGTTTTTACTGGTAGATCTGGTGGCATTCCGGATCTATCAACTTTCAATCGCAGGCCCAGTGGTTGCCGAGCATTTTAGGTTTCCGGGTTTGGGGTTAAAGGGTAACGGGCCAACGGAAGTAGAATAGTTTTTGTCTTGAGTGGGTAGGTCATATGCAAGATAGGTGAAAAGGAAAACAATGTGGCAACTGTTAAGGCTGATGTCTCCTCCCGTGCAGTTCTGAAACCATTCTTCTCTTTGATATCCAATGGGAGGGAGTATTTCAAGGGAGGTCTAAGAGTGTTCAGTGAGGGGGAGGGCTAAGTACTGTCTCTCAACTGACATAGTGCCCACATTGTAGAATGGTGGTCATTCTAGGCTCCCAGTTATCAGGCTGTTACCAAGATCCTCACATGGTGGAGCCTTGCTCGGTTATTTGGTTTCAAGGCGCCCCTTTGCTCATTCGTTGCGCTTTGTGAGTGTTGCTGAAGCCCTGTGCAAGGCCACGACATTCGGTTTCTCCAGATGCTACGGTCTTGGAGGCAACGCAGAAAACCATGTCTGATCCTCGACTTTCTTTATTCTGCAGACATGTTTAGAAGCGTTTTAGTGATAGTCCATGAACCAAGCAAGCGATACCTAATTACTTAAAACCAGTGAACCATCAACATGTTGTTCTTAGTCTTGCCCCAAGAGCAACGACGAAGGACTTGGACCGGGAGGCGCTTTGTCAGGAACGATTTGTAGATATCACTTCTCCTTTCATGCGTGGTCATCGAATTATCTTCGACCTCTGAGCCAACACAAAGCAGACAACACCAGACACGATGTAAGGACTCAGTCAACTCAGTATTTCGCCTCCAAAGGGCCCCCTTGTTTTTGGACTTCGAAATCACACGGCAGAAGAATCCAGGGTACACGAAGAACCGAAGTGAGTTGGCTCCGTGGAGAACCTTGCAAGCGGCTTTAGTGAATTCCCTCCCTTTGCTCAAGCCCTCTATATGCAAAAAAGAAGCGGTTCTGAGGTCCCCCCTCAGATAGCCTTAGTCAACCTTAGGGGTCAGGGAACCCATAGAGACAGATACGGGGCTCAAGTTTGGGGAGCTTTGCCTGTTGCAGCGGCCCAACGTGCCGCCCAGTGTGAAAAATTCATGCAAGCGCGTCCAGCTGCTTGGCACTCTAGTGCTAGGACTGGCGCCAGCAGGCAGTCAAGGGGGCTGATGTTCAACAACCAAATGTTTCAGTTGATGTTATCTATCGTGACTGTCCGGTCAGCTTAGGGTACGTCCAGCATCATTGAATCCCTATCCCTGCAAAGTCCACGGCCAAGATAAAATTCCGAGACCTGGAGCCCCGAACTCCGCCCCAAACCTTAAAAGCAAGACCTACAGGGTTTAGCATTAGGAGACCCTAAACCCTAAACCCTAAGCCCATAAGGGTCTAAAGTAGGTAAACTTTAAAAAACTTTTAAAATCAGCGTTTCAGCCTCCAAGGCCATAGCTGTCGGAACATGGGTGTTTCCCAAAATTGTGGGGTACCTTGTTGGGAGTCCCCATAATAAAGGACTATAGTATAATAGGGTCTATATGAGGGTCCCCCACCCTGAGCCCTAAAATATGGGAAACGGCCACATTTTGCCGAAAACGGCAGGCCAACGCACCGTTGGCAGAAACGTTTCTGTTTTTCAGGGGGCTCAAAAGGTTGGATGAAGGTAGGTGGGGTACAGGAAAGAAACACCAATATAGTAGAATCTACACTAGGGATCCGTTAGCCTTCAGAGCCCCGTGAGTTTTAGGCTGTGAAACCTGACTATAAGTGGAGTTCAGTATGCCTACTACTCTAGATCAGAATGGTGCCTCCCAGGATTCCCAGCTACATGCTAGTCTCCCTAAACAGGGGGACCCCAATATAGACACCAAAATACTCTATTTGTTTTTGGGCATCCAAAATTGTATCCTTCTAATCCTTATAAGCCTCTTATACCCCAAGTCTCCATTTCATGTTCCATCGGTTTTTCCACATGATTCTCCATTATTGGGATAATATCACCCTAAACCCTAAATCCTAAACCTCTCGTTTATGGAAATCTCTACAAAGGCCAGGTTTCTTCGATGCCAGCAAGCTGCAAGGCCTAAAGCGAAGAAAGCTTTAGCTCCGAGCTTCCCCCACGCGGGATCAGGGGTTCTAAGGTTTACGGTTTGGGGATGTATAGGGATAATGGAAGAGAAAATGGAACCCACTATACTATATAAGGCTATATAGGGGTAATATAGGGATTAATGGAAAAGAAAATGGAAACTACTATTCAGGGTTTTAAGGGTGGACATAGGGGTCTCCCTGGTGCAAAGTTGAGTATAGTTGCAAATACATTGCCTCTGTCCTTGAGTGGGAAAGGTTGGAGACACGCAGCTGTTGGATAGCCCGACTGCACCTGTGTACGTAACGACACTCATGGTCGGAACGGCGTAACGATACTCATGGTAGTGATGGTGACGAGGATGATGCGTCATGCGACGAAATGGACCGCCACCCTAAACCCTAAACCCTAAACCCTAAGGGAGGCTGCTTCATTGTTCTTGCGGATCTTTTCTTTTTGTAGAGGCAGGCTTGAGGCTCCGTTTAGGGATTAGGGTTTAGGGGTCAGGGCTTCGAACGCTACAATCAGCAGGACGTCCTGAAAATCTAAGATAGCAATGCTCATGATGAAGCGTGATGATAAGAACAGTTCACCCTAACACACAATCCTACTGGGGGTAGTAGGGAACATGGGAATGAAACCGCTAATGGGCGGGTTCTGATTGCGAACCCGCCTCCCCCTTTCCCCCCTTCCCTCCTCCCCCCTCCCCCCCCTAGCTATAGTTTACACTCCTAGTATCCCCGTTAATGACCCCTATAGTTTACATTCAGCTGTGGGTTGTTTATTTAAGGGACTCTGTGTGAGAAGGGGTTTGGTCCCCCAATTGGTCCCCTATTGGTGATGCTGCTGCCGCTGCTGCTCCTCCGCCTCCTCCTACTGACTAAACTCCTATTCCTACTCCTACTCCTGCTCCTCCTCCTCCTACTACGACGACGACTACCACTACTACTACTACTGCTACTACTACTACTACTACTACGACTACTACTACTACTACTACTACTAGTAC